AGACGGCGTCACCCTAGCTGAGGTCGTGGAGACGTTGAACCCAGATCGTCGGTACCGCATCTTCCGTCACGAAAGGCTGCAATACCGACATTCGGACAATATTGCCATTTTGTTCCGATATCTCGACGAAGTAGAACTTCCCGACCTTTTCCGCTTCGAGCTCATTGATTTGTACGAGAAGAAGAACATACCCAAGGTCATTTATTGCATTCACGCCCTCAGCTGGCTGCTGTTCAGGAAAGGAATCGTCGACTTCCGCATTGGCAACCTTGTTGGTCAGCTGGAGTTTGAGCACCATGAGCTCGAGGCCATGCAGAAAGGACTCGATAAACTTGGGGTTAGCATGCCCAGTTTTGGCAATATGGGTGCCGACTTTGGCGTTGAGCCCGAGCCCGAGCCGGAAGAGACGGAAGAAGAGCGCATCGACCGAGAGCTGGCTGAAAACGAGGGCTCCATCATTGAGCTACAGGCACAAATCAGAGGCGCTGCGCTGCGAATGGAACTAGGCGACACGATGCAGAAACTCTGGAACTCCGAGACAGCTCTCATCGAGTTGCAGTCTCGAATCCGTGGCGACTTCACGCGTCAGATCATGGACTACAGGCTCCAGATGAGAAAGTTTGCTGTGAACCTGCAGTGTCAAGCCCGCGGCTTTCTCGTCCGAAGACGACTCGCCAATAAGGAAAGATTCTGGAGGAGCTTGGAGCCTGACATCTTGGAACTCCAGAGCCTTATCCGGGCTAAGAAGGTCCGTGATGAGGTGCAGCACTCCAAATCTCAGCTCGCCATGCACGAAGGTCCTGTAAGGGGCATCCAAGCGGCATTCAAGGGCTATCTCGTCCGAAAGAGCTTCGACAGTCAGCGAACCGAAACGCAACAGACATCTGGTCAGGTGCAGCAGCTTCAAGCAGCTGCTCGGGGCATGCTATTACGAGGTCGGGTTGAGAGGGATCAACTTTCCCTCGAACAACAAGCCTCGGCCATCATCGACTTGCAAGCGGTTGCAAGGGCGTTGTTGATGAGGGGTCAGATCGCCCGCGACCAGGAGCATCTTCAAGGCTTCGCTCCGCAGTGGACTGCGCTCCAAGCCAAGTTACGTGGCAATGTCGCCCGTTCTGCCATTCTCTCAACGAAAGCAGAGCTCAAGGAACACTCCCCTCAGCTCGGACAGCTGCAGGCCTTTGTTCGCGCCGGAGCCGTGAGACGAGACGTCGCTCAGACACTCGAGGCATTGGCCAGCAACGATGGAGCCAATATTCAGCTGCAGTCCTGCATACGTGCTATGGCAACCCGAGGCCGTCTTGCAGCCGACAAGGAAGCCTTGACACAACAGGAGCCTGCTATCACCCGTCTGCAAAGCCATATCCGAGGCCACCTATGCCGCTTACGACACACGCAACTCCTCGAAGAGCTTGAGTCGCATGCAGAAGATATAAGCAAACTGCAAGCTCTGGCAAAGGCTATGATGGTTCGAGAGGAGATTGGCTTTGTGATTGCTGAGCTTGAAGAGGAAGAACAATCTATCATTGCCATTCAGGCAGCTGCCAACGCCTTCCTTGTTCGGGCTCGGTACAGGGAGAAGCAAAAGTTCTTCAACGAGAACATGCAGAAAGTCGTCAAAATTCAAAGCTTCATCCGGGCGAAGATTCAGGGCGAAGCCTACAAAAGCCTCACGACAGGCAAAAACCCGCCGGTTAACGCCGTCAAGAACTTTGTGCATTTGCTCAACGACAGCGACTTTGATTTCAACGAGGAGATTGAGTTCGAGCGGATGCGCAAGACGGTCGTCCAACAAGTTCGGCAGAACGAGATGTTGGAGCAGTACATCGACCAACTCGACATCAAGATTGCCCTGCTCGTCAAGAACAAGATCACGCTGGATGAGGTTGTACGGCACCAGAGCAACTATGGCAGCCACTCTATCGGTCTGCTGGCAAACTCATCTATCTCTTCTGCCAATCACTTCGACTTGAAGGCGCTGAACAAGAGCTCCAGGAAGAAACTGGAATCCTACCAGCAGCTCTTCTTCAATCTCCAGACACAACCTCAATACCTTGCAAGGGTTTTCAAGCGAATTCGAGAACAGGGAACACCGGAGAAGGAATGCAAACGTATCGAGCACCTTATGATGGGCTTGTTCGGTTATGCTCAAAAGCGAAGAGAAGAGTACTACCTGTTGAAACTGATCGCCCGTTCGATGCGTGAGGAGATTGACGGCACACGAGACGTGCAGGACTACCTACGCGGCAACTTCTTCTGGTCAAAACTTCTTTCCAACTACGCTCGATCTCCGCGAGACCGAAAGTACCTTCGCGAGCTGCTCGGCCCGTTGGTTCGCGACAACATCGTCGAGGACCCAGCCCTCGACCTCGAGAGCGATCCCCTACAAATTTACCGCTCGGCCATCAGCAATGAGGAGCTCCGAACCGGCCGACCAAGCCATCGTCCCCTGGATGTTCCCCGCGAAGTCGCTATCAAGGACCAGGAGACACGAGATCTGTTCATCGATCACCTGCGGGATCTCAGGGAGATTTGCGACCAGTTCTTGTTTGCGCTTGAAGATCTCCTTGCCAAGATGCCTTATGGTCTCCGGTTCCTGTGTAGGCACATGTTCGAAAGCCTCTGCCAACACTTTGAGAAGGAACCCCAACACCACATATTGCAACTGGTGACCAATTGGTTGTGGAAATTCTATCTGCAGCCCGCAGTAACAGCACCCGAGAATGTTGGTGTCATTGAGAAGCAGCTCAGCCCTCTCCAGAAGCGCAATCTGGGTGAGGTTGCCAAGGTCCTCAGCCAGGTTGCGTCTGGGAGGCCTTTTGGTGGGGAGAATGTTTACCTCCAGCCTCTGAACGCCTTCTTGGGCGATTCGATTGATCGGTTCGCCCACATTACGCATGAGATCATCTCGGTTCCCGATGCGGAGAGCACGTTCGACATTGATGAATTCAACGATCTGTACGCCAAGAACAGGCCGACGCTCTACATCAAAATGACGGACATCTTCGCCATCCACAGCTTGATTGCAGCGGAACTGCCGTCCGTGTGCCCCAACCGGGACGATATTCTCCGAGAGATCATGCAGGACCTCGGAAGTGCCAAGAGCAACGAGAGTGAGATGCTGGCTGCGGGCTCATCTGATATCCAGATGTTCCTGACGCCCAAGCTGCACGATGTTGATGATCCGGATGCGGAGGTTAAGGCGCTCTTCATGGAGACGAAGCGATGTGTGTTGTATATTGTCAGGGTGCAGTCTGGTGCGAACCTTCTCGAGGTCCTCGTCAAGCCCATCACACCGGAGGACGACCACAGGTGGAAGATGGTGCTGCGGGACGACTTCTCGAGCAAGGGCTCGCGAGGGGCCTACTCGGACGCGAACATGATTGATGTCACTCGCATGTCGTACCACGAGCTCAAGCGAACGGCGCTGGAGAACGTCATGAGGCTCGAGCACATGGGCAGGATATCCAAGCACAATTTCTACCAGGACATCCTCAACGCCATCGCACTCGACATTCGAACCAAGAGCCGCAGGCGGGTCCAGCGGCAGCGCGAGATCGACGGCGTCCGCATGACGCTGTCCAACCTTCACGACAAGGCCAAGTACCTGGAACAGCAGCGCAAGAGCTACGACGACTACATCGAATCGGCCATGGCCACGCTGCAGAAGAATAAGGGGTAAGTACACCCGACATTGGAAAGGCTGCGCAATGAGAGAGGAATACTGACACGGAGTTTTTTTCCACCAACAGCAAGAAGCGATTCTACGTTCCGTTTACCAAGCAGTACAACCACCAACGCGAGCTGGAGCGCAGCGGCCGCGTTCCCAAGTTTGGGAGTTTCAAGTACAGCACGCGAGCTCTCGCAGACAAGGGCGTGGTTGTCGCCTGGACGGGCGTCGGTGACTGGGACAAGATCAACCTCACCATCAGCTGTGACGAGGTGGGCGTGTTCGCCATTGAGGGTTCCCGCGGACACATACAGATGCCAGGAGCAAGCGCACAGGTGCCCATCGAAGATCTGCTGCAGGCTCAGTTCGAGTCGCATCAGTTCATGAACCTCTTCGAGGGGAACCTCAAGCTCAACGTCAACCTGCTCCTGCATCTTCTCTACAAGAAATTCTACAGGACGCAATAACTAAGGTCTGATACCCCGGACTCCCGCCACCTGCCTACCCGTTGGCGCTGGAGGGAGGGGGATACCTCTTTTCATCTTCTTCTTTGGAACCCCCTCGATGGGCGGACACGACTTTTATGGACAGGGTTAATGGACTACTTGGTACCTAGGGATGGACGCTGCGGTTACTGGCGAGACGGTATTTCTGGTGTTTCGGTCGAAGCATGCATAAGGAAGGTGTTGATCAGCTCGCACGCGCGGGCTTTGGCATTATTACGGGGAGAAAGGATACCCCGAGAAGAAGAGAGGAAATGGGAGGATGCGCGCTCGTTTGTATTCAAGGGGAGAGATCTTGCAAGTGCTCATGGTGGTTGAAACAATGACTGAGTTGACATGAATGAATTCGAATATACTGCTCTGATGACTATGATGTGATATTTTTGGCTTTCTTTTCACTTTTATTTTGAGAAGAGGATATGCCATGGGCGATGCCTGGCGCAGGCAGTTGGTCGGCGAGTCTGAAGTTCTCATGGCTTGCATTTGCATTGCATGGATTGATTGATCGAGGCCTGTTTTTGTGGTGACGTTAGCCAGCTACAGGGGGTGGGGGCGGGCGCGGCGGCGTTCTCTCTTTACCTACCCCAGACCCCGCCAACTTTTTCAACATTTCACTGCTATTCCGCGTATTGGAACGCCTTTCGGCCCAGGTCCTCCCTTCGATCATAGATGCGCACCTGACAAGAAAGCTTTTGCATTCGGCATTCACCTGGTCTTCACCTCTCTCTGACCAGGCGGCAAGGCTATCCAAAAATCATCAACTCCTCTCCGCCAAGCTACGACTTGCACAAAGTTAGCCCTCTCACCAGTCCTTGCCTCGTCCCAGCATGGAGGACCCAACGAGCTTCGTCGACGAGATCGCAGCGTGGTTCGACATTGACCCCGATAGCCCCGTCCTGGCCGTCTTCTGGGGCGCCTTCGTCCTCCTCGCCTTCGCCTTCGTTGCGCTCGCCGCCTTTGTCATCACGCAATGGACCGAGTGGTACACTGGCCGCTTTGGCTCCGTGGCCGGGCCGTCGCCTGAGCGTGGCACCAGCGGCCTGAAGGCCGGGCTTTCGAGGGCCCTCTACTTCGGGCTGTACCTTGACGGGTGCGGCATCGCGCTGCTGCTGGTCGTGCTGTCGCCGGCGCTGGCCATTGTGGCCATGGGGCTGGCGCCGCTGATCGCGCTGGGGGTAGGAGTGTTTGGGATGGGGGGCGACGAGGATACCGGTACCAAGACGAAGCCGAACGTCGCTGAGGAGAAGAAGGGACAGTGAGCGTCCTGGTCCTCGTCTTCGGCGCCGTCTGCGAATGATGAGCCCACATTGGCTACGTATGCTCGTGAGGGTTCGGCTGCGCCTCTGCACACACAACGACGCATGATGGATATCACAGCAATGACAAGTCACCTACAACGAAGCCTTCCTCTGAGACGCCACGCAATCAGTATGAACACTGAGCCCCCTTTCGCCCTCGAGAGCTTCACGAAACCTCGCGCTTGGTCGTTTTCGTTTTCTTGGCGTCTCTGCAATCCTCTTCGGACTTCGCCAGTCACTCGGCAGATCTTGGTGTCCTTTCTGCAGGCGGGAGGCGAATGAGACGTGTGCGCATGTGACATCGCTGCGCAAGGCCAAGTTCTAAGACTGCGACTAGCAGCAAGACACCAGACAGAGGCATCCGTCATCGCAACCACACCCTCACCCCTCACTTGCATACCATCCCACTCACTCAACAGCAAGTGCCCAAATATACTTCATCGCCACATACGACACGGACACGCCCTTTCCAGACACGAAGGAAAAAAAACACGACCCGTTCCCTATATTTCCACCGCTCATCAACACCATGTTCGCCATTTCCGTCAACCCCCTCATAGAGTGGGCGTCCAACATACCTGAGGATAGCCCCTGGAACCTCGCCGTTATCATTCCCCTCATACTTCTGGGCCTCTACTACCTCTTCGGGAGTATCCACGCCATCATGGTCTTCTCCGACTGGTTCGGTCGACGATTCACATCCGTCACCGGCGCCGCGACCGACAGTCCGCTGACGCGCGCAATGTACCTCGGTCTCTGGCTCGACGGCTCCATCCTCATGATCGCCGCTGTCCTCGTCTCGCCGCTCGGGATCCTCGCCGCCATGGCCACGGCCCCGTTTGTCGCGTTGGCGTTGGCGGCAAAGAGACTTCTCGGGCGTCGGGTCGCGGCGCGGAGGGGGAACGGCAAGGGGCTCGTCGAGATGATGTTTCTGGATTTGGAATCGCCGGTGCAGATGGCAGCTGTGGCTTTCGTGGCCGGGGGGCTCATACTGGGCCACCTGTGGACGATATGACGGGTCGTGCATCTGCAGGATAAGCTAGACATCAGGTTGGCGAAGGGGCATTTTGACATCTTCTTGAGTTCCTTGCACTACAATACAATCCATCTTTATTGAACCCGATGCTTCGACTGCTTGGACGCTACGATACCTGCCCTTGCCAAACCCGGGTTCTAGATGGGAAAAGACGGTTGTTGCTTTGGGTGTACGAGAATCGTGGACCCTCAACATGCTCCGGGTTACTGAGGCCCCAAGAACAATGCTAGAACCCGAAAAGATTCCACTCTCATTCAGAAGGCAGTTGAGACAAGCGTACTCAGGCAAGATAGACGCCAAGCAGATCTAGACAGCTCTATTCATCGCCACGCAGAGTCTTGAGCATCTCCATAGGCTCTAGATGATGGGCTATAATGAGGCACCAGACGCGGTTGCCCTCCGCTCGCACATCGTCAGCTACGATCACGAATTTTCCAAATGATCGGCAGCAGGGCTTTATATCTGCCGGAACTCCACTTGTCAGACATTCTGCATCGAGGACCAAGGATGAAACTAGACTGTTATACAGGGAGACTCGAACACAGCATCAGTGCAGTCATATAGACGAGATCCAGTCTTGGATGTTCATAGTCAACACGATGGCATGGCATAGCAGACAGTGTTCATGTATGTGTAATCATCATCGATATATTCAAGATACGACATGAGCAAAGTCGTGAAAACCCCCCACGCCTTTCTCCGTTTTCATTGTATCATACAACAGTACGGCCGTAGCCGCATGACAGATGTAAACTACGTATGAAACCCGAAGAAACGATACGAGATGAAACGCCAAACACCTAGCAAAAGAATAACGGATAGATTCTGCTCCGCAAGGCAGACAAACACATAGCATATCATAGAAATGATATGGGACAAAACAGGAAAAAGTGTGACGAATAGAGTCGGTGGGCGAGGTGACAACAGTCTGTCGGGAACGCTTCGTTACCCAACAGCTTTCTCAGCCGTGTATTAAAGATGGCGTGATGTATAGTTCGATTGCAAAGCAAAATCAAGGTCACTCGCTTGGGTATGTTGTGTACTGATGGGTATCATGTGCGGCTTGCGGTGGGCGCTTCACTGGCAGGCGTAGATCCACCCCCAACTGCCGTCAACGTCGGTGAACGGACTTGATTTGGTATGTTTCCTCCGACTTGTGGCCATTAACGAACCCGCTTACCATCTAGGTACTTGGGGCTACGTGCATCGTAGTACGGGTTCTGCAGGGTCTGCTGCTTCCGGGCCTCATAAGCCATGCGCTCCTCTTCATCAAGCGAAAAGGCCTTTTTGAGCCAGCCGAAGGCACTGCGTTTCTTCTTAAGCTTTTGCGTAGTGCCAGATGCCTGAGAGTCGTATGTCATGGTTGTCACGTTGCTAAGCATGCCATGCTCCGCCCATTCGCGATGGAGCATTACGCTGATGGCCCGGGCGATAATCTGGCTGTTGTGATGGATACGTTGTTCGGGGCGAGGCGCCAGCCGTCAGGGGCGCTGCTGGAGGGGCGAATGAGGGCTGGCTTGTACGGGACGATAAAACTGATGATGTTCGGACCGTGGCGATGCTACCACCGGAGAA